AAGATCACATTGTAAGAGCTATAAAAAAACTCAATTATTCTATTGTAAAGACATATAGAATTTTTTGGAAAATAAAAGAGAGTTTTCTAACTTTTGAAGTTAAGGGTTTGTTTGCTTTTCTTTTCTATTGTGTGTGATTCTTTTAGAAAGCAAGAGGAATCTTTTTCTTTGTGTATGATTCACATAGCCATTGATTTGTGTTCTTATACCAAATTCATTTTGTAACTTTATGTGGTGAACTTTGATTCATTTAAGTCGTTGGCCTTGAAACCGTATGACCATAAGCTTAGTGTGATATCTATCTTATATCAACCCTAGAAGCCGTACGTGGTGGGACTCTTGTCTTGATATAGAAAAAAGCCCAAGTTCTGGCCCAAATTATGAGTTGACTCAATTTCGATATCTTACAGTCTCCACCTTCGGATTCATATAGCTCTCGACACTTCCTTTATCCTTCTTTTTGATTGATTTTTCCAAGATCTCCACCTTGAGCCCAACTTCAAACCTCCTTGATAGTTGCCCTTTACAACCTTTGACTTTAGACTCTGACTTGGCATTTTTATCTTCATGTAAACCTGCATTAGTTTGAATTTAAACAAACCAATCACCTGAATAGTTTAAATACCATAAATTTACTAAACCATCAATAAACTAGGCAATTCGTTGATGAACTCCATATGTGAGAAACACACTGTCATCCTAAGTTTTCATCACTCCCATGTCTCATCTTGAGTTGTAAACCTAGCTGCTACACTTCTTGTGTCAAGCTCAACTCATCATTGATTCAATTATTTCTTCATAGCCATGTTTGCATGATGATATAAGATTGGAATCCACCAAACTTATGATCACAAGATGATCAAGAGATTCCAAGCTTGAATGCGGAAGATGGCTATTGATAGAGATGGAGATTTATGATTGATTCCACAATCACACACGAAATAAGAAGCTTGATTCCACAAGTTCTTAATCCGAAAATCAGTAGAGAAGAGTGATTCCACACTAGACTCTAAAGACAAGAACACAAGAGTAAAGGAATCCACCTAAGACTCTAATGAACAACACAAAAGAAAAGACTTTTGTAAACAGAAGAATACTTGATTGATTTTGTAGAAAGGTGCTTGGAGATAATTTACAAGTCGAGCTTATTTATACTCTGAAGCTAACGTTCTATTCTAAAAACAAAACGAAAGAAATGAATGATATTAAAGTAATATGGTCGTTTGTATCATGGCCAAATAAGGGAAACTTGATGGCACCTTTTATATCTTGATAACTTGAGAATAATACTGTGATCCTTGAGTCTTCTAGAAGTCTCCTTTAGCTCCACACATTCAGAATATAGTCGTTGGAGCAAAGTAGGTGCTCGCGGGTCCATATATGGTAAGTTGTGTCTCTGCATGATCTCTTCCATTCTTGAGCTTAACACGTGTTTGTTGAATCCTATGAGAGTTTCTAGGTGTACAAGAGTGTCTCCTGGTCGCCACAAGAATGTTTGAAGTATTCTAAACTCGGAAGGTTCCAAATAAGGTAAGCTGAGGATCCTCTGGTTTAGAATTATAATATCTTTTCTAAACCAAAACTGGTCTTAAAATGAATCCAACTCGACAAGTCAAGATTCCATACCAAGTCGGTTTGTAGCTTATGCCTCTTGGTTTGGTCGTAATGCTCCAATGAATGCAGATTGATCCCAAACGGATAAGTTGTAACTTACCCGACTTGTAAAACTCATAACTTCTTCATATGAACTTATATTGGGCTGATTCTAATTGGAAATAATCCTATGATGAGTTACGTTTCTGTAACAAGTCGTGTTGTCATTTAAATCCTCATGGTTTGTCTTCCAGGCTTCTTGAAAGTCACATATGTCCTTGCTGGCTTCTAGTTGGTTTGAGATCTCAGCGTGTTGGACCTCTGGTTCACTAACTGGTCTGATGTCCTCATCACATGTGATTACATATTCAAGCAACAACCATTAACAAGCTCCAAAGCTTGTTACACCAACGTGAAACTCCAGAAGCTTTACCACTTATGAATTTATCAACCATACAGCCTCCTACATGGCCATTGTTACATCCATGAATCTGTTTTAGTGATTGAACAAAACTTTTTTCTTTTTTTCTGCGACTTTATTCTCTTACTGGAAGTTTAACTCTACTCATGCGCATTGAGCCTTGGATGAAATTGTTTGAATTTTTGTGTTGCTAACCTTTAATCATACAAGCTTCAAACTTGAAGCAATCCCTGATTCAACATGTCTTTGTTTAAACATACTAGCTTTGATCCTCTCTGGTACCGTTGTTATTTCTAACAAAACACGCCATCTTGCTAAAAATACTGCTAGCAATACTTTCGACACATCCTTGATCCGACCATCATGTTTACTAAAAAACCTTGTTAACAAACTAATTCCTCTTGAATCAACTGCAAAAACTTATTAGTCACTCTTGCCTCATTTTCCATTGGGCCTTGCATCTTCGCTCATTGGCTTAGTGTTGTCAGCTATTGGGCTGCAGCTTAGAGTAAGCCCAAGATAAGGACTATTGGACTCAGGTGAAGCGTTAATACAAGCTGATATTCGAGCGAGAATCTCGGACAGCGTCTCCGACTACGTTGACCCTACTTCCTGCATAATTACCCAGACAAGTTAAGCTGGTAATTTCCAAAATAAGTATTAGCAAGTCGACGATATACATATGGGCTACCTTTACTATTAGTTGATACCAAAAATATTAACGACTATAGTTAGATTCCTTCTGGTTACGACACATTGTAAACATTAACCACTATACATAGATGGATACGTACTATATTAATTATGTTAACCGTACTCTATTAACTACAACTGCCCTACGCGACTCCCTCAAGGCCTCCACCTGAGCTGCGGCCTCCATGAGAGTTTTGTCAAGCTCTTCTCAAAATCCGCCGTAAAACAAATTTCACTAGAAGAACCGTTGGAAGAATTATCTCCACTTTCTTCAGAAGTAAGGAGAGTGGTGTTGTTGTTGACCATTGCATGTGGTGGCGCATGGTTAACAACATCGTTTTCATGTACTGTACACCGTTAATGAAGGTATTTTGATCATATGTATTTCCTTCCACAAGGAGACTTTCCAAGTAAACTCTAACCTCGTCAGCATCACCGTAGTTGTGTTGATAATTTGTTTGCATATACGAGTCAAGAAGGTTCACGCCAACATCACTAAACTCGTGCATTTACCTTTGGCGGGGCATTGGGTGAGTTGTATGTCATCTTGGTCCGCAGCGACCGCTCTTGGTCAGCGCAATGTCAGTGTTGTAGTCTGAAAATAAATATATATAAAGACAATGTATATATGGAATGACCGTAAAATAAAGAGCTATTTGTTACGTCTTGTACACATGTTAGCGTAAAAACAAATATCTTAGCAGCCAACCATTCGTATTTCACGTAAACTTTTATTTGATTGTACTTATAAGACTCACAATTACTCGCTTTCCCAACATTGTTTGGCTGAACGGCAGTTCCATTAACTCCAACACTCCCCATATATGTATCTTCATCTTCATCTAGGTCAATTATATTATTAACCATACAAGATTCATTGCACACCAAGGGTTGAGCAACATTTTGAACTGGCTTTGAATAAAGCATCTCCAAATTAATGGACTCGGTGAATGACTATCATCTCCGCTTCGGTGAAAATCTCCTCAAGAGCACTTTGAGCTGCGGGGTTGGTTCTTCCGCTTATAAGTTCTGAATGCATAGAATTTGTTGGTTAGAGGAAATAACCACTTACCAACAATTTTTGGACAAATAACCACTTACCAACAAATTTTATATTCAGCAAGGCTTCAGAGATTGTGTTATGGGTCTTGAGGGAGGTAAGAAGTGCAGCCAACGTTGACTGTTCTTCTACACTGGAACTCGTATGTAGTAACTGCTTCACCCACCCCCCCCCGGGTTACACACTTAGTGTGCTCCGAATAACTAAATCAGATTGCCATGAACATAGTAACGTCGCGATCTTTTTTTATATCAGAAGGAGCGCCACCATTCTCATATAGGTCCGACAGCTACTCTGTAACTACAGCAACAGTAACCTATTTTATATCTCCTTCAACCTACAAAATTTTCAACTTCTTCCCAACACTTACACCTCGGGCGAAGTAAAGGGGCAAAGTGGTATAGAACCACATGCCGCCAAACAGTGAATCAAATTTTTGAAAAACTTATTGTTATTTACTCAATTAGTGTTTCTCAATGGTTTTCCACCTAATAGACCCAAAATTATAAGGGGGTGATTTACAAATATCAACAATAATTTAAGGTATTTTTTCAAATTTCTTCTTATAAAAAAACAACCAAAATATACACAACACTTAATTTAGATTTGAAAAACATGATATTAGTATCCACTAAGTTTGGCTCAGTTCATTGGAACATCTTACCGTGACACTAAAAAAATTGGAACTGAGTATTGGCTTATTGCTTCGTCCGATACAAAATATATCCTGTGTTAAAATCTGGGAATGTGGTCAATTACTGAGACCAAATCCATTCG